TTGATCTGTCTGAAAGGGAATTTTTCAGCCTGTCATTAGAGCCAAATCCTACTCTTCTGCTCTTCTACTCCTTAAGATATTTATAATTTGTTTATGATTTATTGAAATTTGCCTGGCTGTGGGAGAACTGCATCTTCTAAATTCACTTCACTGCCTACTCCATTCTATTTGGGAAACGTTGTCTTCTTAAAAGATGTTTCCCTGGGAGCACATTCTTATCTGAAGTTTATGAAATAGCATGCTCAATACAACACATAATTTATTCCACCATTTTCTTTATTAAGGCACACAGCGGGTGGTTGTGGGTGTACAAAGATGGTCACAAATTGCCTCATACATTTACTTCTGTTGGAGAACTGTGGTGGCGAACTTTGGTTAAAATGGTGGTCTTAGGAACCAAATTAGCCTTAAAAATTAGTGGTGCTAAAAGACATTTTCTAACTAAGTGAAATACTTTTCTGTCACATAATTAATATCTAAAAACATCATAACATGATAATTCCAGCTATTTATTTTGGTCAGGGAATCTTTCTAAATACACATAAGACACTGGAGATGGCCTGTGTGGCTCATTTGGTTGAGTGACCAACTCTTGATTTCAGCTCTGGTCATGATCTTGGGGTCATGATATCAAGTCCTGGATGGGGCTCCTCACTTGGGGTGGGGAATCTGCTTGAGATTCTCTGCTACTCCCTGCCTGCTGGTAGGAGCACCTGCCAGCTCTCTCTCAAAAAATAAATAAATCTTTTAAAAAAATACACATAAGACATTGAAATTTTGAATATGTGTTAATTCACCTCCATCCTATATAACCTCTATTGATGAGCCTTTTAGAGGGAAATAGGAGTGGATGATGCCTTTTCTAAAAACAACAACAATAACAACAACAACAACAACAAAAACCACTTAAAAAGCCCTTATATCTTCCTCATTTTTGTTTTCTCCTGGTCACCTTCTTTCTCACTTCAACTTCCTGCCATGTTTCTCTGTCAGAATTCTGTTTATCTCTTTTTTTCGGGGGCCTGGAAATTGGTAACAGTAGTGCTAGCAGTAATATTGAGTCCTGGGTCATGATCGTGGCTGGGCTAACAATAGGGAGGAGGGATGAGAGCAGCTTTACAACTTGACTGGTTTATTATTTTTGAGTTGCACCAATGGGAGGCATCAAAGAAATAGAACACATTGTATTTTGTTTAAAATGCTTCAATAGTGGGCATCCTAATTTTACATGTCATAGGAGAACGCATATATCTCTAATTCTTTCCCAATGGGCATGTCAGTAAAATAGGAATGCATAAACATTTGAGAGACAGGGACGGTTATTACAGGGTCTGCTTGAGTTACAGGGCATTATAGTGGTTATAACAGTGCTTATGATGCTGTAGCAGATGAAGACTGATTTCTTGTGATTAAGATTCTACTAGTGTCCTGTGGCTGTTGTAACATACTCAGGGTTTTGAAAAACACAAACATATTAATTATAGTTCTAGTGGTCAGAAGTTCTAAAATCAAAGGGTTAGGAAGGCTATATTCCGGGAGGTTCTAGGGGAAAATCTGTTTCTTGACTTTTTCAGCTTCTAGGGACTGCCATATTCTTTTGCTTCCATCTTTGAAACTAGTATTCATATCACTCTGACCTCTGCTTCTATGGTCACATCTCTCTCTGTGAGACTCTCTTCCCTATCAGGACCCTGGTGGTTACACTGGGCCACCCACATGGTAGAAGAAAATCTCCCCATCTCAAGATTCAAAGACCCTGGGATCATGATCATGAGCCAAAGGCAGCCGCTTAAGCGACCGAATCACCCAGGCATGCCCCCCATCTCAAGATTCTTAATTTAATGACATCTGCAAATCCAAACATTCCCCATTTACAGGTTTTGGGGGATAGGATGTGGACATCTTTATTCTTCCAATCACATACCTATTCTGCAACCAGCTGCTTGCCTTTTCTTAATACTGATACGAGTCTCAGGCAAATCAGAGTCAGCTGGACTGTATCATTTTTAGTGCTATTTTTACTTTTTGAATCCTTTCCCACATAGGAACCAAAACAACAACTGGGCTCTGATGAATCTATAGAACAATATGGGTTTAGATCCCCAGAGCTTTCTTGATCCATGCCTTCTCTGGGCTTGATGCAGAAAATCTACTGGGTTTTGAAATATTAGTGCTAAAGTACATTTCTTTATTGTACTTTATTATATTGTGCCCACCAAAGAAATAGAGCAAAACTAATTCTCTGATTAAAGATCCCAAATCCACAAAATTCCAACTCTATCTCTCTACTAAGATCTGACCATTCTGAGAGGTTGAAAGAGCTGTTAATGGACCTTCTCATGGCCAGTTTCCATAAAGCATGATATAAGAACACTGCATCATCCAAATTAAATATGTGACCTACTGTCAACATCACTCAACACAGAAAATAGCCTTTCCACTGAAATTTCAAAAGACCAGTGACTTACCCCAAAGGAAGTTCTTCATTCTCTATCTCCATACTTCCATTAGAGAAGCTGGCATGGAGAATGTGAGGGGAAAGATGAGCTGTGAGGAAGGTGAGATGACAGGCACCAGGTGGTGATTTGTAAGGTATATTATTTCCATCCTAAGGACGATAGAAAGTATTGAAGGAATTTAGGTAGATGAGGAGAGGAGGGTAAGGCAGAAGTCAAGGGTTATTGGTGGTATTTTGGCTTGGGTACACTGCATCGATGGCAACTCCATTTAATGAGATGGGAAACAAAGGAAAAAGTAGGGGTTGGAGGTAAGATTCAGGTTAAATTGAATTGCTTATGAGATATCCAGATGGAATTAGCAAACAGGCAGTTGGCTATAAAGGTCTGAGCTTGAGAAGGGGGTTTGGGCTTACAATATGTATTGATTACTCATCAGTTTATGGATGGTAATTGAGAGCACCACCGGAGATTATGTACAAAGTTAGAAGATGGCACAAGATAAAGATCTAAGGAGCACCAAACATTTAGAAAACAGGCAGAGGAAAACACCCACAAAGGAGACCAAGGAATGGTTAGAGAGGTAATTGGAAAATCAGAAAGAGTTGACATATTAAAAAAATTTGTACCTAGTCCTTGGGTGCTATTACTTGGAAACAGGTTTAATCACAATTAAATGTGACTTGAAAATTGTTTCCTTATCTATAAAATGGGGCCAATAATTCCTTACTGGTATCACAGGGTTATGAGGTTCAAATAAGAAAATTATTTGAAACAATTTTGTAAAGTGTTACACCAGTGGTTCTCAAGCTTAAGTTTGCATCAAAATCATTAGGAGGACTCCTTATAACACAGATCTCTGTTTTTGAATCATTAATACTTGTGGTTTCTGATTTAGTAGGTGTAGGGAGGGGTCCCAGAATTTGAATTTTGCATAAGCTCTCAGGTGATGATGTTGTCAGTCTGGGACCACCCTTTCAGACTACTGTGTAATACAACTGTGAGGAATTTTGGCTTTTGCTTTTATAACACAATTCACTGTTTTCCTTCAATGTTGTGTCTGTTTCCTCCCCTACTCCTTTTTCGTTTCTGTATTTCCATCAACAAAAGCTGAAACCTCTTTAGCCTGCTTCATACCTATTCTTTACATCTGTGAAAGACGAGCTAGGCGCAGTATTTCCTTGCTTACATTAATGAGCATCGACCTGACATTAGCTTGATTAAGAAGGATAAGAAAAATATATGGTATTTCCCGTGGGGAGGAGATAAGAAGAGACTTTTTTGGAGTAAAAGATGAGAATTTTTTTCCCCCAAATCAATTAGATGTAAAATGCTACTTATTACCTACTTTCAAAAATCCCTTTAGAGAACTTGTAATTTGATCCAGAGGGCGGAGAGTCAGGTAAGAGGAAAAATTGACCTCATTCTTCAGTCCTTTCCTAAATCCTGAGAAATGTGTGTACCTCCACGCTCCTTTTTTCAAGCCCACAAAACGGGGAATCAGGAAAAAGCATTAGCACCCTAGTACAGACTAGAACACCGAGCGGGGAGGAGACTCAACCCCATCAAGACAGAAGGAAACTGGGGGAGGGGAGAGAAAACTTCCCCTAGTCGGAGACTCTACAGCGCGGCCTTGGGAAGAGAAGGGAAGTGGGGACATTTACCTCAGGAGTCAGTCAGACACTTCGCCTCAGGACATGTGGGGAAGTGAGGGAGGAGAGGGGGAAAGGTTACACCAGAGCGAGATCGCAACAGCTCCCGCTGCTGCTTTTGAGTGAAGATGTACAGAGCTAGAGCTTTCCGCTTCGCTTCTTCCCTCCCGGAAGCCATTTCTCCATATTTAACAGGGATAAAGAAGGGGCGCTGGGCCGCGTCAGGATAAACCAGAGTTACCGCCTTCCCCACAGTAGACCCCGCTTCGGCCCCCGGCCCAGGCGGGAGATGTGGCCTTAGGGGACGCTGAAGTTACTCCGTGGAGGGGGAGGGGTCGCCAGGCTCCCCTCCAATCACGGCGGCCGCTTCCGCTATTTGCATGTATTATGCTAATGAAGACCTCCCGCTCAGCTCCCTCCGGAGCTCTCCTTCCCCTTGGAGGGTCTCCGGCGGAGCCCGCGGGCAGGGCGAAGGTGAATACATTATGCTAATGAGGCGGGCTTCTGCCGGGGCTTGGGAAGGGGGGCGCAATGCTGCAGGAGCCGGGGGCGGGAGGCCGGGCGCCGGGAGGGGGTCAGGGGAGGAACGTCGCGCTCGGAGCGCGCGCGCACTCACACACACTCACACACGAGCATCCCGAAGGGTATTTAAGGCTCGCACACGCGAGGCTGCGGAGATACTTTGGGCAGCCGCGACTTGAGCCTCGCCACTCGAATTTGCTCCTTAGGTTATTTCGTTTTCCTGTCTCCCCCCCCCCCCCCCCCCCCCCCCCGCCCCTTAGCCATCCCTTTGGCGAGGCGCTCTCGCGGTCTCTCTCAGCCTTTCTGCCTGGAGCTGAATCTAGGTGGCAAATAGGTCGGCTTGCGGAAGGGCACCAAATAGGTAGAAATAAGGCAAACTAACGGAGACGCAACAGGTCGGGGGCTCGGTGGCGAAGGCGAGCGGCGGCCCCTCGCTGCGCCTCTTGCGCTGTCCCTTGGACCCTGGGCGGCCGTTCTCGAGGACCCCTTCCGAGGTGTCCGTCCTTTGAGGGGCCAGGAGGGCCAGCCGGGAGGGTTTCATTCTGGTTTTTACCTTTTTGCCACCAGTCCTCGGACTGAGGGTGCTTTTCAAGAAAGCGGAGAGGATGGTCCACGTCTGCTGGTGTCGGCGCTGAGGAAAGCGGAGCTCCATCTGCGCGCCCGATCTCCGCCAACTAGTTGTGCAGCCGCCTAGACTGAACTTTGGAGGAATCGTCCTTCTTTCCTTTCAAGATTCTTGGAAGTGGTAGAAAGTGGGAGGCGAAGCCGAGGCAGCTGATCCCTCTACGATGCTGGTGAAAAAGCATGCAGGGAAAGGTGGGGGTCGGGAGCCAGGCTCCGAGGACCCGAGCCCCGCCAGGCAGCGTTGTGCCTGGACGGTGCCCCCCTGCACCGCCCTGTCGGCCCTTCTGTCGGTGGTGGCCGTGATGTCTTGTCTGTACCTGGGGGTGAAAACCAACCACCTCCAGGCGAGGATCGCTGCTCTCGAATCCTCAAAAGGGGACCCTTCCATCCATCTGCTTCCCGATGGCCTGGATCAGCTCAAAGCAATGGTGCAAGAGAAAGTGGAGCAACTTCTGGCTCAGGTGTGAAAGGCTGGGGTATTTTGCACGTGGATAATATCTTGCACGCGTGTACAGGACCGGCCTCTACCCTTACTGTATGCATACTTGGTGTGGCTGGGTGTGCATACGCTAGGCGACCATCTATGCCCCCTGTAGCGTATATTTGTATATGCACATCCTTTGATATTACCCTCTGTGTCTCTATCATCTTCCCTCACTCTTAATGTTTGCATGCTGAACAAATAGGAAGGACTGAAAGAGGGAAGGGTGGCCAGAATGGCAGGGTGGCATTTTATCTCTTTTTAGTTTTCTAAAGTGACGTAAGAATCTTTTCCAATCTTGTGGAAAATATTCCTTCCTGAGATAACATAGGTTATGTCCTTCATATGTTATAAGAAGGTTAGTGTCATAGGTGTTATTAATACACAAATGGTAATCACTTTTAAAAGTGAAATAGTCCTATATGTGGTTTTTAGGTTGATTATTTCCCACATGAAATGTTTTCGTATTCAGTATTTAAAAAGAAAAAAAATGCAGCTTCATTTTTTTAAATGAAGGATGCAATGGGAGTGGTGTTAATGCATGTAGAGCCATTACAGTTGAGAGTTGAAAGGAATCTAGGTTACATTTATCACAACCAGGGGCAGCATTAGACTAGAGTGAGGGGGTTTTCTGGAACTTGCTCTTCGAACAGAGAGGCTCTTTGGCAGTGGTTGCTGTGCAGTGTGATAAGCAGTTGACCTTCATGTATAAGATAGTGGCTATTTTAAAGCCCATAGCTTACCTAAAACTACAGCGTGTTAAAGCTGGGTTTTTGCATTGACTGCATGTGCTTGAGCTGAGGGAGAAAGAGGAGGGCGGTGGTAGTTGAGGAATGGAGGAAGATATTGTACAAGTCCAGCAGTCTCGATACAGTGTCAGTAGTCATTTCTTTTTTTAGGGCTTGGGTACTGTTACCTTTTGACTAAAGTCCAAGTACATATGTAAATGTTAGTTATGCAGGCTCTCAAATGCTGGCGAATCAAGCATATGGCCAGAGTTCCTGAAGAATCCATTTCTCTACCATGCTACTGATGATAATACCTCTTCTTTTCCTACAGAAATCCTATGAACATATGGCTAAAATAAGAATTGCAAGAGAAGCACCTTCAGAGTGCAACTGCCCAGCAGGTAAAATGGAACTCATTTCACAAGGTTTCCTCCCTAGCAGAGCATTTTTAAAACCGAAGTCCGGTATCTGTCAAGTCTACCTGTAATAATAGTAAAGAAAGAATGCAGGCCCAACTGACTTTAATAAAATCAGCATGTCTCAGTCAAAAGAATGGCAAATAAAGCCCCAAATATTATTTGAAGCAGCATACCGAGGCCTGTTATGGGAAAGCAGGGGAGATAATCATCACGGAAAATACAGGCAAGATGGCATGCAAGGACAAAGTTCTTGGACTCACAGATTGAAAAATATTCTTCCTTTTTATTCAGTTTTCATGTCTGTGGTGAGAAAGACTGCAGAACATGTTAGATTCTGAATTCCCTGGTGGCCAGTATTGCATTAGTACAGATTTCCATTTGTTCCCTTTGACATACGGTTATGTTAGTAAATTACCTTAACTTCCACACCTGCTTTTATTCTTTTCTATCAGAAATGTTCTCTCTCCTACCCTATAGCTAACGATGAGGGCTAAAAGGAAATTAGTTCTTTATCTTGAGTTTCTCATTTCAAACATTGTGTTCTTGATGATGTCTCAGAAAAGGCCGTTATATCTTTTCATTTTTCTATGTAGCGTTAGGGAACTGGACTAATGACAGCATATTAACAGAAGGATGAAGAAGAGAGACATCAATGAATAAAAACCCCGGTGTAATCATTAAATCTACATTCACAGACCTCTGAGGCTTGGTAGTCAGTCAACTAGTTCTGATAGTTTAGGAGCCACTGAATGTGTCCACTGAAAAATATCTAGTGGATTGAACTGATAGAAGCTATGAAAATCTCCCATGAGTCTTGAGATTTTTATTTCAGATAAATGTCATTAATACATTTATGAGCATTTTATTTTTTCCATCATCACTTATAGAAAAATGAGTCTGTTACATTTTCTTTAATGTTCAGGAACATGATACCTTAGATACTTATATGCAGAAAGGCTAGATCCTGTATTTTTTTCATATTCTGAGGTTTTTTTTTTTTTCTCATGATAACTTATCTTGACATAGCTAAACCAGGCACCATGTTTAGAAGTTTCAAATGTCAACTCCTGGTTGTATAGTATAAAAATTTTATTTATGTTCTGCTACATTGTTGACAATAATGGAGCTGTATTTTTTTTTTTAAAGGAAGCCCTTTCAATTGAGAAGACATATATATTAGATAACAAGAAAACAAAGAGTTAATATTGGACATTCTTGGTTGTTTTGAGTTGGGAAAGACCTCAGAAGTTAGAAATTCAAGGAAGGCACTTTTCTAGTGCAGGAATTAACTTCCAACAACCTCATCAGCCTCTAGGGATTATTTAAATTCCCAAGACAGTTGGTACAGTACTTCACTGATCATACCACTTAGAGTCCAGAATTTTCTGTATACAGTATTCTTGTTAGCTATGTGAAAAATACCTAGTGTTTAATTAATAGGATTCTTAGTGAACTTGGTAAAAAGCAGAAAAGTGACAACCGCAACACTGAGTTGTTTTTTTGTGGTGAAATCTGCTTCATGATGTTTGATGTAAGTTATTGAGGTCTAATTTGTAATCTGGAGGGAAGCCATTACAGTTAGACTTTACCTTATATTATCTTGGAATATTATTTTGAACCCCTTTCTTCTTAACATAGTAGTTTAATAATAAGTGGTAATTTTGCCATAATAACATAAATAAATGATAAATGGTGATTTCCTTGGTTTTTTTTTGGCTCTCACTAATGGCTGCTTTACTTTCTTGCCACCACTAGAGCTCCACATTACATCAGTTTTCACCAGGTTACTTGCAAGGTAAACGTTTGAAGGTGTGCATTCCAAACTGCAAAATCAAACAGGTTTCCTGCTAAACAAATCACTACCATAGATATACTTTTTTCTGCTTGTGGAATAATTAGACAGCTTCAAAATAAAAGCATTATGTTGAAAATAGTACTCTGGGGGAAAACTAGTTATTTTGAATTATGGTCAGTGAGGTATTGTCTTAGGGAATGAAAGGCCTGGCCAAGTGGATTAGAAAGGAGATACAGAGCTTCCCACCTGGTTTGGCTTTAACCCTGGTTTGCAGTGACTAAGAGTTGTCACCCAGACATCTGTTTGTAAGGCAGAGTGAGACAAGTCTGTGACCTCAGCTCAGTTCCTGTGGACAGATGCCCACCCCTTGAAGTTGACACTCTTGTTGACAGTCTCCATCACAGAGCCAAGGACTGATAGCAAAGGTCTAGTGCTGTGTTGTTTGTGTTCACTTTAATTGCTCTTGATAGAACTCAGTCCAGTGAGGTCTATCCAGGTAGGCTATAAGGAAGTCTTAGAATTTATACTTTTTCCTTTTTTTTTTTTTTTTAAACAAAGGAAGGAACTTTTGTGGGAGAGGGATGGGAAAGACTATTCTTGGATGGTTTATAATTGTAGGGGAAGGACTCTCATTTACTCTTCTCAAAAACCTTCAGAGTTAAGTATTAGTAATCTCCTATTTACAGGTGGAGAAACTGGACTCAGAGAGGGTGACTGACTTAGCATAGTTAAGGCAGGGTCAGGATTCATGCCCACATGTGAAAAAATCAAAAGCACAGTCTAATGAACCATAGAGAATGAATATAGGTTTCGGAACTAGACAGGGTTGGAATCTTGGGTCTATCACTCAATAACCGTGGGGTTGTGATCAAACTTGTCATGTTCTAGGTTCCTCACCTGCAAAAAAGTGGCTTATACTACCTTCCTCAGAGATTGATAATTTACCTAAAATGTGGCTTCTTTGTGGTTATTTATTAGATGATAGCAGTTATTATTCTTTTTAATATATTGTATACTACTTAACTCTAATCTGGTCCATGGGGGCACATGATATAGGTGGAAAAACTGAGCCCTGGAAATGGCTAGTTAATGGCAGGTTTTGGATGAGAATACTATGCTTAATTAAGCAAATATATCTGTAGATGTATTCATGCAGATAATCAAATGAGTCAATATCTCTTAGTGCTACATCAGTGGAGACTGGTTCTTTGCACTTTTTGTGTTAGTCTACTAAATTATTTTTACCAAATTTGAAGGAAAAACTTTTGGCCTTGTAGGTAAACCATGATGGAAGTAGATAGAATTTGCTCTTAAAAGAGTATGAGGTTATGTCTTTACCGTTTTGATACCAAATGTTTTCTAAAAGAAGTGCTTCAACTGTCTGACTCATTTTCACACTTATTTTTTAACAGCTTTATTAAAGTATAATTTATATTTACCCATTTTAAGTGTCTGAATTAAAAAAAAATTTAATTTTAAAAATAAATTTATGGAGTTGGGCAGCCATTGCCATAATCTAATTTTAAATCACCTTCGTTGCTCCCTGAACATTTACATTTACTTTTTTCATGTGCTCAGGGGAAGCTCTATTTTTTGAATCTCTGCTTTAAAGAAACCCTAAAATAAAATTTAAAAAACCATACGAAGTGAAGCTCTGCTTAGCATAACATTTGAGTTAGTAGTAGCCGAACCATAGAAATTCAGCTGGCATCTGTGGCTTAGCCTCTGTAAAACTTGACACTCATAGGAGAGAATAAATTGGCTGTTTGCTATGGCTAGAGAATCTTGTTTGGGTTTTGTTCTTGGAGTCCTACAAGTATGTATAAACCAGGCATATTTATAGGAGGGTCTCTGTGTTCCAACTGGTAGAGAACACTGGAAGCCAGGCAGCCAACCAAAAGATGTTTAGATCAGACATATTTCTGTACCCTACTCATTAGTAGTGTTGTTTGCCCAGGATATTAGATATAAGAACCTCTGTATCGTAATGGACAGAGAATGTGGATGGGCAATAAAGAATCCAGTTATAATCCTGGCTTTGTCATTAACATGTTATACAATCTTGGGCAAGTCATTTCCAAGAATGACTTTTATAGACTCTATTTCATAGCCCCAAAACAGGAATGTTGGACTAGAATGATTTTCAAGTGCATTTGTTGGTTCTCTAGGTATAAAGAGCCTGTTGTATGCCAAATGTTACACGAGGTACTGAAAATACGCTGATGAACCAGACACACTTAGGGTCTGCCCTTATGAAGCTTACAGTTCAATGAGGATGACAGGCAGACATTTATTTTTAAATGACCTGAATGTACAGTCATGACAAGTGCGACCAAGAAAAAGGACTGTGTTCTTTGGAGCACATGCCCACAATTTCTTTCATGTTGTAAATACTAAGGACTTCTTTGTTCTGTTCTTTTCTGGGGCAACAGGTAGGTAGGTGGAGAAATTCCCAGTAGGAGAAATCACAATATAAGAAAATCTGACTTTTGATTACAAATAAAAGCTCTAGCAATGGATAAAAAGCTGCTTTGCATAACCTCCCCTGGCTTTTGGCTTTCTGAGAACTTATGGTCAGATGAAGGTGCACTGATACCAGACTTACCTACACTGATCTCCAACTGAAGCAAAAAAGAGACTTCAGTTTATCAAGTCTTGTGGTAAATAGGATGGTGATTTATTCTTCTACGTTTTTCCCTGAAAACAGTGGGATTTGGGTTGAATAACAGTCAGAACTTCCTGCCTGGTGGTCCTGAGCAGTGTTCTTAGACCTGGTTCTTCTCCATTCACTGACAACGAGGAAATGGAGCACAGCAGTCCTCTTTGTGGGGAGAGTGACTAGAGATAATAAAGACACACTACGTAACTTTTGAGGTCCCCATACACCCTGCAAGTCTGTGAAAATGATCATATCCAAAAGAAACATAAATGTAGGCAAGTAAGAGTATCTCTGATTCATGTATGTGAGTGATGCAACCTCCAGTGGCTGGCTTCATGGCATCTCCCCCATTTCTTGTAGAAACAAATACTAATTGTAGCTTTAAGGTTGTGCACCCTTTTCCCATCATAGGAGAAGACCTTTATATTACCTTGCCAGCAGAAATTTACTTTATCATGTAATACGTGTATTTCCCACTAACATGGTTTTTCACTTATGCTGTACATTTTTCCTAACCAGCTGCACAAT